TCTCGGAAAGCAAAGAAATGAATCGAAGGAAAACTTCAATTTCCCCCAAACTCAATGGAATGCTTTTCCGTACACGTAAGAATGGCGAGAAGAACTCGAGGGGAAGTTTGCTCAAAGCGTACTTTTCAGCGGATGAAACAAAAGCCTCTGCTCAAAGGGTGGGGAGAGAAAATCTCTAGAATATATGAGACCGACCAGGCGGGGTTCTGTAAATAATTAAGGCTGGAGCTACGTGATTCCATTTATATATACCTATTATAAGTGGGGATTTGAGAATTTCAATTTAAAATACACTGTTTCTTATTCTTATCTTACATCCAACCAAAACTAGGACATAGAGCTTTAATTTAACTCTATATAATTTATATACTTTAGAAAAATGTATAAAGCTCCAAGAAACTTTCACAGATGATTTACAAAATGTAAATAAATATATAGACTACATAAATGAATAAGCTTTTTAATTTATACGAAATTAATTGAATCTTTAATTAACTTACCAAATTACTTGTATCTCAAGATGGAACCCACACTTGCTATTTAATGAGAAGGCCCACAATCTGTTTGAAAACCTGTAATCCCCCATTAGGGCTTCTTTCAACCTTGTAAGTCCCCATCTCATCGGAAAACTTGCCCCACTCTTCCTCATCAGAAGTGTTCATAAAAATCTTCGAAGAGGCCTTTGAGTGGAGTTGCGTGCTGGGATGGATAAGTGGGTGGGTGGATGGCTAGAAGGGCTACGATGGGCTGGGCTCCTCAAGTGCTTAGACAATCGTGTTGAAGCTTTGATTTTCGAGCTTATGCTGGATTTGGTGGCACAAGATTGCGTTGGGCTCCTTGGCGCTTTCTTCCCTTTCTCACATATCTGCAGTATGCCTATGAGGGCGGGTAATTAAGTTGGAGTGCCCAGAGATATGTATATACCCCGCAAATACGAAGACCATTTGCCTAAGTAATGCCTGAGTCGATGACAGACACTCTGACTGGCTGACTGACTGGTAAAAGTGTTGAAATGTCTGCCGCAGCACTTAATTAATTAACGTCGAGCCAAGCGAACGGGCGAGCGAAATGAGAAAAGTTTCTGTGCTCAGTTCAGGAATCGGGGTCCTGGGATCCTGAGGGCTTCGAGTCCCAAGTCGCAGAGTCCCTGGAAACTTGGCAGCTATTTGTTAAGTTGCAGCCGTTCAATATTTGTCACTGAACTCATTAAGCAAATTAATAGACAAAGTTGCCAATTGCTGACAATGGAGGTTGCCCTCAGCTTGCCATTTTATTTACCGAACCGGAGCTGAGAAGCCAAGTTGGAATTGGAATAGGGTTCGACGTGGACTCGTGGTGGCAATAAAATGGCACGCAATAAAAAACCCAAAGTCAACAAACAATTCCACGGAAGACTCGCCGAGTCTCGAGCGCAGAAATCGATTATGGACGCCTCAAGGAGGAGTTCCAGGTCCCGGCGAATCGACGACCCAGTCTTGGCCACGTTTTCGATTTTGCCATTCGGCATTCGCCACCTGATGCCAGTGGGCCTGGACCAACATGGCAGACCCCCTTCGACCCCCACTCCGCATCCCATTTATCTGCCCTCCTCGGCGAAATTGCCAACGTTGCAGCTCAAAAGCGGAAGTGATTTTCCAGCGTGTACGTGTCTGCTCTCCCTTTTCTGTGTGTGCGTGCCTCAGTATTTGTGGGTGTTGGTATTGGTGTTGGGAAAAGCAGTCACTTTGAAACAGGGCTATTTGGGTATAATTGCAAAAATAAAGTGTAATTAAATTGTAAAAGTCACTCGCTACACTTAGCTAGTTTCACATAGCCCAATAACTATGTTAGAAAACTCTTGAGTAGTTAAAAAAATCTATTTAAAAGTGGAAAAACGCAATTATCAAATTTTCTTTGACATTAAAGTTTGCGTTTATTGAATTTAATATTTATTTATATATATTTATTATTTTATTTATTTATTTAATAATCACGTAGAAGAGTGTAGAAGTAGGTATCAAAAGTAACAAAGTGAAAAATAGTCATTCTCAAATTTATAATGTTGCATACTTTTAGACACTTTTGTCTAAAAATTGTTTTGAAGCTCAATTATCTAGGCCTCTCTTTTAAAACTTTTTAAAAGCTTTTATAAAGTAATATTATAGTTAATAGTGAACTCTGAACCATATATATTAAATGTATTAATGATCAATATTATACCATCTTAACCTTCATAATTGTATACAATCTGTGTAACTATAGGTATTACTATTTCTCTTAAATTGGCTTGATAATATTGTTTATAAATCGGAGTCCCCAAGTCACTGTTGGCCAAGTGCTACGGTGACTTTTGGGGCACCACTGGCAAGTCCTTGCTGCATAAACCCCACAACCAATATGTGTGCTCAGCTTGGAAACGGGGGCGAAATGGTGGGTCGAAAAAAGGGCGCGGATGGCAGTGAAGGATTTTATGACCCTTGATAGTGGCAAGCGATTTGTTGCGTGCATCGGTGGCTGCCGTTGCATTTTCAATTTGGCAGCGCGCACTTTTGGCATCTTTGAATAATGCAATGGCAATCGGGTTGCAGAGAAGCCATCAGTATCGTATCTCCGCGACGACAGCCGAGCTTATTTTGGCAGCTTATTAGCCAGTCCCAGTTCCCCGAATTTTCGGTTGTATTTTCTATTTTCCGTGCTTTTATAATTTCCAAACACGAGCGTGCAATTTGAGCGAAGCCAATCGCGTCATGTGGGGCAAGTTGACAAATATGCAGCACGTGCTCTGGTCCACCAGAAGGGCAGTTTGTGGACTGGGATTGATGAGTCATCTAGGCAGTCAGACAGCAGCTTGGTTTTTCCACGGAAAATGTGATATTCGGTATCAAATAACGGGCAAACTGAGAAAAATACGCTTTTAATTGGTCTAAAAACAAGTGGCAAATGGATTTGGATTTTTAAACAGAAAAGCTAGATAATGATTTTTGGGAAATTTGCTTATAATGATTGAAACATTTGACTTAATAGGCACTCAGATGATTTTTGCGTTTAAAATGCGTTTGCAAAGTACTCATACTGAAGTTCATGCTTATTGAAAAGCCATGTTTAATATCTTTAGAATGCATTTTCCAGCCATTTAACCGCCTTTATAAGTTAAATGCCTTTTCACGACCATCGGGTATTTACCGGTGGCACTTTCACACAGCCATAGCCTTGCGAAAATCGTTCGATACTCATTAATGTTACGGGGGATTTCCATTTCCAGCTTAATGTGCCGTGGCCTGGCTTTTCACTACCATTCAAACGCTCAATCGCATCGACCGTGTTCTTATTGTTTTCGGTCAGCCAGAGTCAGGACGTAAATAAAACGTAAACGGATGCATTTTTAAGTGCCTCTGCGATGCATTAATTTTAAACAATTTACCTGGTAGTCGAGAGCACCAGGCATATGCGAATTTATATTTTAAAGTCAAAGTGGAGAACAAAGATATGGGGATGGGGTGAACAGGAAAAACTGGGGAACCCCCGGGGCGAATATCCTTGTGCAGCTGCAGCTGCAGCCACTTCAATTTGAAAAACATCAGCTCCTGGTTCCTGGTTACGTTCCATTTCCATGGTCCTGCGGTGGCCATTGGCCGCTGGCCTTTGCCCCCTTTTGGCCATCGCCACTTCACCCACTTTGGCTCCAGATTTGCTTTTCCTCCTTTTTGTTCACCCCTTTCAATTTGGCCAGAGTTTTCTTTGGAGTTCGCCAGCACTGGAAAGGCAGGAGCCTTTAAGCCAAGTTCAATGTTTGATTAGCCCGCCACCCCCTCTGTGATTTCCCATCCTGGCTTCCTGTTCGCTGGCTGTATTCCGCTTATTAAGCATACGCCTCGTTGTGCGCAAATATTTGAAATGTCTGGCATTTAGCGACTGTGAAATGTATTAATTATAAAAGAGCCGCGTGCATTGACCGCAAAAACCGCATACAGAATCGGTAAATGAATTTGAAGCTGAGCGGAGGAATGGCATTTTGGCAATGATAAACTAACTGACGAATTTCATTTATGGCTACTACTACTGTTGGCCAACTGCGGTTGCAATGGCAGCGGCAAAAATTCCAGTTTTATATTAAAATGAAAAACGAAAACGATAAAGCAGAAGCAACCAAATTAACAGGGAAGATTGTTCTAAAACAACAGGTTGATATGATATAAGTAAATTTTATGAAAATCGGGAAAATAGCATACTCGCCTGTAGGCAGGATCTCCTGTGGTAAAATATTCATCGCTATAAAAACGTCAAATGCAATTTCATGTTAATTTTATGCCAATTTAATTTGACCAAATTAAGCGTGAGCCTGTTTAACAATAATTGCCCACTTAATGATGAACACTCGCACTGGACTTGATTAAGGTGCAGTACCATGGACATTGAATCCGATACCAAATCCTGGCTAAACAATCTGCACGATTTTAATTACGATTTTCAATTAAAGTGCGACACAGAAAACCAATTTGCAATTGGCTCCTATGGCCTGAAAGACCCACACGGTGAAAAATAACCAGCTGCAATCAAAAGCATTTTCTTGAGCAAAAAATCAGATGGAAACGTTTTCGCCTAAAAGAAGACTGAATGATCTGGAAATATAATTCTGGAAAATTCTTGGAAACTTTATCAGGGGAAAAGGGTTTACAATACAACCAGTTTATTTTTAGTAAAACTTCAATTGTATTGATCTGTCAATAAAACTTGTCTATGTATAAAGATTTTAAGTTAGTAAAATAAGTATTTAACGAAGTTTAACTATATCATTATTAAAATCCGTAATATTTTTTCTGATTATCATAATTTTATATATATTATTGTACATTTTATCTTATGGTTGTATATATTATAAAATTTATGATATTAAAATTACGATTTCTGGTGAAATAAAGATATTATTAGTCTAAAATATGAATTATTTTTTCGAAGTCTAGACCTCCTTCTTTCGCTCAGTGCACTCACCTCCCGTTTCATCTTCTCTGCCACCTTTTCAGATATTGCTGTATCCCGAGGAGGGTTGGGCGCGAACCGCCTCGTCCAGTTACTGGACCATCACGCCCTGCTTCTGGCAGCCCAATCGCTGTCGCATCGTCGAGTGCTCCGGAACCCAGCGGCGCGCAACGAAGGCCCGGATGATGCCGCTGGAGCAGCAGGGGTCTCTCCTGATTGCCGGACACTTTCGCCGGACAACGGCGGTGGGCGGTGGAACGGCATCGCCGGCGGGGGGCGGGGCAGCGGGCTTCGGGGCGGTGGCTGCCACGCCCACCCCGGCAATACCCGCCAGTGCGGTTCGGACGGGGTCAACGGGTTGTGACAAGTCGCTGCCCGCGTGGAACGACGAGTTCAAGCTGTATCTCACGTCGAACATCTCGATGGAGGACTACAACATGGGCTACTGCCTCACCGGATTCGTGGAGCGCCGCTGCCAGGTGACCAACACCTTCCAGATGACTCACTTTGCGGTCATCAAGCGCCAGTGGCCACCGTCGCCGTCCAACCTGGGCAACTCCTAAGGCCCCCAAACCCCACTTTTCTAATTGTGATCCGATCTTTTGTTTCGAATTGGAAACGATTGAAATTAAATAAGGGACTATTGCTGTTTTCGCCTTCAAAGAGTTGGAGGGAATTCCAAATTAAAATCATTTTTCATTTATTTACTGATTCAATAACTTAAAACCTTTGGGTTTAAAATCACTTATAATGGTTATTAAACATTGTATTTTAAATGATAATTTTCGTTGGTTTGACTTTAAAAAACGTGTTTCTTTTATTTTATTGCATACTTTTGAGCAACTTTATAAATGATTTCAAAACTAGAGTGATTTCTTGTCTGCTTTATCATTTGATATATCTGCTCAGGAATTAAGGATTCTTTAAAACTAATTTTTCTCAAATATCATCCAAGTCACATCCTTTTTGCAATACAAAGTAAGACAAAAGTCACGAAATAAAACTTAAATTTCGTTTTTAAGACATAGAATTCGTTCAAAATATTTGATTGTGAAAACAGACACATGCCCAAAAGATACCATTTAAGTTGTTAGCACTTAAGTAGAGTGAAATGTTGTTGTGCAATCTCGAATTAAAATCAAAAGAAATTTCGAAAAATCTATATAGAAAATGTAACATAAATTGTCGAGGCCTCGAAAACCGATAACCACTAGATCGTAAAGCGTAGAAAATTAATGACAGAAGGGATAAATTAAAGGAGTAATGCATTTGCGCGTAATTTTACAAAATTCCCTGCATGTTTAGTGCGTAAATTGTAATTTTAACTAAATGTGCAAGTGAAATTCAAACAGAAAATAGAAAAACTAGGAAACCAAAAGAAATACAAAAACAAAAACTTTACGTGTGCTTTCAGTGTTGTGTAATATGAAAAACGGAAACAAACCGGGAAAAAATAAGTGAAAAAAACAAATACTAGTAACTGTTAAACGCTAAATGAAACTAAACCGCTTTGCCAACTCACACACACACACACACAGTAGCACGGGCACCCACTCACACACTCGCACACTTAAGCTTGGGCAGCTACTTAATGCTTCAAAAAAGTGCAACAAATTGAAACTTGTGCTTGTCGAAGCATGTGATTGTGAGTGCTCCACTATAAGCTGATATTGTATATTTACGAGCGTGTGTATGCTGTGTGTGTGTGTGTGCGAGCTGGTACTCTTTTCTACTACATACAAATATGTACTTTAACGGCCATGTTTGCAAAACCTATTGCCTTTAAGCTTTAAAATATAAGCACAACTCAACGCAGGCAAACAAGTCAACAGCCTCGAGCGATGGCCATTGGCACTAAACAGCAGTTTGATAACAAGCTAACATTAAAGCTAATTATTTAACGAGCTGTTTACGGAAGGTAAACAAGTTTGTGTTTTTAAGATAAATGTATACCAACGCATTTCATGATTTAAAGCAGACTCACCTAATTTCCCGTACATTACATGGTCACATTGTCAACAAACAAGCTTCTCTTGGTGAATTGGTCACACTGCGTTTGTCTTTTTCATCAATTAATAAGTTAATAAGTTTTAAAACACACTTTAAAAACTGCTGGCTAGTGTCACTAGCCATTTAACTGACTAGTCCAAAACCGAGTTTGCCAACTCTACGCTAATCTAAGGAACTAAGCCCCTAAATCTCTCTATCTCTCTCTCACTAACTCACCCACTGACCCACTCATGCTACGGCTCTATCCCTCTCATTCACTCACTTTGAGCATGATACGCAACGTATATCAACAATTCGTCCAATAATTGGAGACTTTCGGCGCCAAATGTAAAATTGGCATGGCCAGAGCTCCAATTGCCAAAAACCCTAAGTGTTGAAAAACAATGAAAACAAAACGTAAAGAAAACCAAAGCTAAGTCAAAACTCAACGTAGCCTAAGTGATAAGTAGTTTAAAAATCAATATTTACAAGCTAGAATATGAATCTATATATATTATATATATATATAAATATATCTATATATTTGTGTGTAGGCTGAACATTTTTGCGTATATATCGGTGTATTTATATAACTGTATTGCGATTACATATACAATAACATTTTTGCTGTAGTTCGCATAGCTCGCTTTTAGGCGCTTTTACACGCAAGCGAATAAGGCCGAAAACCTCTTAACTCTCTTATTTGCTTCAGACAGATCTCCCCTGCCACTTTACTCCTAAACTAATTGATATTTAAGTATCAGGTACCTGCCAGAATCAACAACAACAACCAAATAAACAAGAAAAATATGAATATACATAAATATTTATTGAGCCATTATGTCTGTGCAAATATTTGTGTCCATTTTAATTAGAAGAAAAAAGGTAAAATATGAGAAAAAAATCGAATTATTTTTTAGAGAACACTGGTAAATCGAGTTATTCTACCCACAAACACACGCAAATCGATGTCGTCTCTTTCGAATTGTATAAATATATTTATTAGTGTCTCTGTGTGTAGCAAATTTTTCTGCGCCTATGCTTAAAAATACAAACAACAGACAGGAGTTTTTCAGCTTCAAGCTGAATGTCCAACACTCGAAAACAAACCGAACAAAAACACGCATGAGCTTTTTTGTAGTTCTATTTAAACATTTTTAAATAGCAAAAACAAGTCAAAAAGAAAATCCCTCGCTTCGTTGGAGCATTGGGAATTAATTAATATTAAGCTTCTATGGAAATAAGCGATGTAAACGAGCATAATTAGTCTAAAACAGAGATAAGATAAATCGGTAGAAAAAACGGCAAGTAAAAAATATACAGTGGTCGGCATATGTATTTTGACAAAATAAAAGTTAAGTATACTCATAACTTGAATTTACTTCTTGTAAACTATAGGCATCAATGGAAAGGTAATTTCAATGCCGTTTGAATGATACAATACATTTCTTAACCCATTCAGTATTTATTGAAAAGGACGAATTTGTGTAAATCAACTTTTAAATTTTTTTTAAAAACTTTTTTCTTCGTCTTGAAAACTTAAACTTTTTGATGCAAAAAGTTTCTTCAAACAAAAATAATAGTAACTGCAAAAAGAATTTTTCAAAAATCATTTTTCTTATATTTTTTATGAATTTTTGAAGGTGACAATGTCGGAAAAAATTTGTATGAAAAAGAGAAAAATATGGCTCAAATGCCTGTTTTTAAGCATTTTCAAAAATTCATAAAAAATATAAGAAAAATGATTTTTGAAAAATTCTTTTTGCAGTTACTATTATTTTTGTTTGAAGAAACTTTTTGCATCAAAAAGTTTAAGTTTTCAAGTCGAGGAAAAAAGTTTGAAAAAAAAATTTAAAAGTTGATTTACACAAATTTGTCCTTTTCAATAAGTACTGACTGGGTAAAGAAATGTATTGTATCATTCAAACGGCATTGAAATTACCTTTCCATTGATGCCTATAGTTTACAAGAAGTAAATTCAAGTTATGAGTATACTTAACTTTTATTTTGTCAAAATACATATGCCGACCAGTGTAAATCAAATCAAATGGAAATGCAAATTAAAATATAAATCGAAATCAAACACGTTGATGTTAATGCAACTGTATAAATCAAAAGGGAAAAATACGTCAGCAAATAAAATTTGAGCCGGCAGTGGAAATGTGTAATGAAAATAAATACCCCGAAGGTTGGCACAGTGCGATGGAAAATGAGAAATCAAAACATTGAAAATAAAGAAAGAAAGCAGATAATAGTTGTTTCCCTGGGAATATGATGGGCGTGAAGAGAAAATTAATTCACGATGAATTATAGATGTTTTTGTGGTAAGTGTTTCAGCAAAAAGTGATTCATTATATTACAATATGCTCAAAACGTTTCAAATAGAAGCCCATTCTTCTGTCTTTATATGAAAATGAACTAGTTTAAATTCAATCGACAAAGTCCCATATTCACTCAAAACATAAAATGGATGGTCAAACAGAATTCACTAAGGTTTTAAAGTCACTTATAAAGGTGTCTAAAAGTATGCAGTTAGTAACAAATCACAACTCAAAATACATATATTGTTGCCTACTTTTACTCACCTTTACAATAATAAGTGATCAAATACGTAAGTGTTTCAACCAAAAAGGATTAATTATACTATTATTTATATGAAAATCGAGTAGTTTAAATTCAATCGACAAAGTCCCATATTCACTAAAAAACATATAATGGAAGCTCAAACAAAATTCACTAAAGTTTTCAAGTCACTTATAAAGGTGTCTAAAAGTATGCAGTAAATAACATATCACAGCTCAAAATAGTTGCCTACTTTTAGTCACCTTTGCAATAATAAATGATAAATTAATCACTCCTAGCCTAGAAAGTGTGTGAGTCCAGTTCATGCACATCAAAGAGTTTTTCCAAGTGCCCTACGTGCATATTCAATCATTTAACTCGCCACCCAGCCATCTGCACTTCTGGCCCCTTGGTAATTTTACGGGGAATCAAAGCAAGATCTAACCCCTGAAGTGCGCCAGGCCATTAACTTTTATCATTGTGCGAGACTCACGCTTTAGGTTTGTTTCATTTGCTCAGCCAAGGACGAAGCACGAAGGACGAAGGACGAGTGGACACTTGAGCTCGCTTGAAAATGCAGCAGAAGCAACTCCTGCTCACCTGTTCCCGCTGCGCCGGCGGCATAAATCGCGCCCTCGGTTTCAACTTTCAACAAAGATGTAAGCCAAGTTAATTGCTTTTTGTTGCCTTTTTTCCAGCTCACTTTGGCCACGTTGCCGTTTCTGGCTCTGTTTCTGTTTCTGTTGCCTTTGCAATGTCAACAATGAAACTAACGTCAGGTGGGTCCCGTCCTCATCCTAAAAACCCTACCTTTTGCACCCAGGATCCCGGGACCCCCGATGCTGCTGTTGTTTTTGCTGCTCCGGTGCTTATTTGAACAGCTCTTCACAAACAAGAACTTGGCAACATGGAAGCATTTACGAGCGCATTTCGCGCAGCCATTTGGTTGCCTTGGCAGACAAACGGCTCAGCACTCGGCCCTCGGCGGCTCCTGTCACAGGACCTGGCCTAAACCTTGGGCACCGAAGGGCTGAGAGTCGAGAGGAATCAGGAAATGGAAATGGTAAATTCTGGAGAAGCCGGAGATATATATTTTCATTAAAACATATAAGCAGTAAGGCGGTGCAAACACTCCAACTGTTTGCACTGTCATTGAGGCCAAGGACGAACTGGAAACAAAAGGTATTCAATGCTCATTACAAATATTTTATATATTTATTATCAAAAAATAACAAGAAAAAAGGC